GTTAGGCAGGAGAATAGAGTTATTTGAATCCAGGAACCTCTGATTCCGAATCCCGTTTGGAATCCTTAGAGCCATGCTGCATGTTGGGGCATACTTTGGGGATATAGCCTTCATTGATGCAAAGGAAGACGGCGTTCCCGAGATAAACTTTCTTGCCCTTTCCTCATTTCAAGTGGGAATATTCCAATGGCTCGTAGCCAAGCCTTTGCATGATCGTATCACCAAAGTTCATTAGAACAGCGGTATGAAACCTCATCAAATAAGCATAATTCATTATGCTATTAGGCAATGTTGGAGTGAAATAAAGCTCCCAATTCTTTTGTTGTTGTTGTTGTTGTTGTTGTTAGAGCTTTGTCTTGTGTGGGAAACAGAAGGATTTCTCCCAAGTTGTCTCCCCCAAATATACGCCAAACTTAGCTGCTTGTGAATGACTATACACTTGGAGGTCATCAGAAGTAGATCAGGGGTTACTCTCCCTAAGGGTTATGAGCCATCTAGAGCAAGCAGTCACCACTGTTTATCCCACAACAAGTAGGGCCCACTCCCCTCTGATAAGGAGAATAGTTGACTGTTTCCTTGTAGGAGAACCTAGAGAGGTCAAGCCCACCCAAGGGTAACCAAGGTTAGGCCGCTATCATGAATCTAGGGTCTGCCCTTCTTGTCACATGTATACCTCTAGTCCCTCCCACTCCTATGTGCACACCCCTAACTCATCCCCTTCCTGTCACGCTTATGCCTATCGTACCTTCCCTTCCTATGTGTGTGCCTATTGTACTGCCCCTTCCTGTGACGTGTGGTTACCTGTAATCATGCCCCCTAAGTAGAGGTAACCCTTGGTGAGCAATAAGCGGAGTCCTCGAGCATCCTGCCCAGGAGGTGAGCATGCTACCATGAAATGTGTCTGACTTCATTATTTCAATCTCTCTTCTATCATGCTCTCGATGACTTTAATCTTTATATATCTCAACCATACAATTGTGCCTATCGAACCCGTAATTAGTGGTGGGGGGCTGGCACCCCTTCCAACCACAGTCTTGGAACATGAACGCATGAATTCTAGCCCTCGTTGTTATTAACTGCATCAGATAGGTTTGTAACTTCCTCAGTTGGACCAATTATGTTAGACGTCCTTCCCTTTGATTTTGTGATTTAACACGTTTCCATAAAGGGCAAACAACAAGGAATAGGTGCCCAGTTTCCCTTTCAAAATCATTGTTGAACTCTCTGTCTTGGGATGTGTTGCAACAGACTTACCATGACACAAACTCAGCCCCCATAGTAGCCAGCCCACCTCACACACACAAGGGGAAAAGCCTATGCTTACATTCGGTCACCTGCCAACTCCACGCTCTTATTCTGTCTGCTGGGCAGCTCGTCTCAGGACCTCCGGTCTCCCCTTCATGAAATGAAGTGTCTGGATTATATTCTGCAAGGCTCTTTGTGGAGAGTGCTGGCACAGCAAATGCACCGACATTCCTGATGCCAGTGGATGCACTGTATCGCGACACCGCCTGGGCCACTCGTCCCAGGCCAATTGCACACCCTGCGAAGATGGCCAGCCTGTCTTCTCT